ATATATCTGAATTTCTTTTTCTCTCTTCTCTCTCATGTTGAGCAACAGCCACCCCTTTCCCTAAATCCTAATTTCTCAGTTTCGTTTTATTGGAGAAATCTCATGGAGCAAACTTCTTAAGGAGGAACAAGGCTAAATATATCTGAATTTCTTTTTCTCTCTTCTCTCTCATGTTGAGCAACAGCCACCCCTTTCCCTAAATCCTAATTTCTCAGTTTCGTTTTATTGGAGAAATCTCATGGAGCAAACTTCTTAAGGAGGAACAAGGCTAAGAATTTTGTGAAGGAGGATCGAGTTTCTCTCACGTTTGAGAGATCAAAACAAATTCTAAAGGCAAGTTCATTTTTTCCAAACCCATCCTTTTTTTCTTGTTTTTTTATCATATTAAAATCTATTAAATAGTGTAGAGATCACTCCTTTAAACTTGATGATGCAAAGATCTAATTTCTAATTGAAAGTTAAAAACAAATTCTTTAATTAGGGTTAAAGATTTGAAATAAATCTAATATTAGATATATTGTTAATTTAATTGTTTCAAGATGGATTTACAATCATGATCATGTTTAGGGTTATTAGATACCCTCTAATTGATGCTTATGGATTTATGTATCAAAGTAAGATTTATGTATCAAAGTAAACCCTAAATACCCTAATTAAGAATTAAAAACATGATTTTCTTTCAGAAAAAAAATCCAACCTTTGTGTATTTTTAAGAAATCTGTCGATTTCGATCCGGCATAGGGTCGGTCGACAAATCAGAAGAATAGTCAACCAATTTAGATCTCAGGAACTGAGGTTCCTCTCTGCCGATCGACTGATATATGTATCAGTCAACCGAATCAATCTTCACGAAACTGAGTTTTCTCTCGGGTCGATCGACCGACATATGTGTCGATCGATCGACATATGTGTCGATCGATCAACATATGTATCGGTCGACCGATCGAGACTTGTTGTTTGTGCATGTTTGTGCACGTTAGCCGTTCAGTCGACTAATGGGAAACCAGTCAACTAATCAAGTGTTAGTCGACTGATCAGTGTCAGTCGACTGATTCCCAAGGGCCAGTGGACTTACTTGGTGTTGTTTCTGCGTGTGTTGATCTTCCACGCACATTTGGTCTCGAACACGATGTACAGACTCACACGTCAATACACGTGCGTGACCCTAGGAGTATACGTGTGGAGTTTGAGCATATACGGACCGTTTGGGATAGTGAAGCCTCATGTGTTGATTTCGTCACGATAGGAGACGACACTAGAGTAGGTCGATGCGCCTACACTCCGTAGGATGCCCGAGTGGGTAGTCCGTTTCGCATGGTGATGCGATGAGGCCGGTGCACCGTACCTGTAGAATGCCCAAGTGGGTAGTTCGTCCCGCATGGTGATGCAATGAGGCCGATGCGTCTATACTATGTAGGATGCCCTAGTGGGTAGTCCGTCTTGCATGATGATGCGATGAGTCACATGATTTTGTGAGCAACAACACTCTGTATTATTTTGATCGCATGGGTCTCAGGTGGGTACTGATTATGGACGTAGTCTAACATTGAGGTATACTTTGCGACGATGCATATTTTTGGTAAGGATTACACTGAATGGTGTATTTGTTCTCGTGCTACCTACTCGAGGGTAGGGTGAGATACTGTGATTTGACACGCTTGTCATGTTCTGGTTAAGGTTTGGTGATGTATTCCTTTATAGCTTATTTATAGGATTTGGAGTTGATATTTAGCGATTCACAATTTGAGATACATGGTATATATATGAGGGTTTCCTTGTTTGGATTATTCGCTCGACGTACTCATCTCGTGTTGTGGATTTTTAAATCTCAACTCTTCTTAGTACAGAATATTCAATTTATATATTTGCATGTTATACGTAGTATTTTATATGTGTTACCTCTTCCCCTAGGGGTGGTGGAGGTGTTATTGCTAGCGCTCTGATGCTCGTTGTTTCCACCTTTTTATGGTAGCCAGTCAGGAGTTCGGAGAGCCGCAGGTTGACGGAGACTCAGTATAGTTTATCATTGTTTATAGGTAGCTAGTTGGTGCTCCACAATAGACTATTTATGGTTTTAGACTTTTAGAGATGTATTTTATTTTGGAGGCTGAGTGACTATGTACTATTTAGTTAACTCTTATGTTTTAGAGACTCGTTGTCCTTATTTTAGTTATCAGATGTATTTTCTTTTTCTCTATTGAGACATAATTATCAATACTGTTGGATATCTCTTCTCTACATTGTGTTCCTTGTATTGTTATCTTTGTTTATATCTGCTTGTACCCTCACTATTTTGCATTTGACATCTGCTAGAGTGATATTAATGACAGCAGTAAAACATGTTTATGCACAAGTTGGGTACATGGCTGGTTTAACATCTTTGGTTTACCTTGGACTGTAGCCATGTGTGAAACCATGGGCATCACAGTTGGTATCAAAGCTCTAGTTGACGACCAAGTTGACTAGAATGCTTTTGAGATTCTAAAGGCCAAGTTGACGACCGCGCCAGTGTTGATTATCCCGAGTAGTGACAAGATTTTTGTTGTCTACACGGATGCGTCATTGTCAGGACTAGGAGGTATTTTAATATAGACTCAGAGAGTTGTTGCTTATATCTCACAGCAGTTGAGGACTCATGAGCAGAATTATCCCACTCACGACTTAGAGTTGGCAGCGGTGGTCTTCACACTTAAAGTGTGAAGGCATTATCTTTATGGGGTTCAATTTGAGTTGTTTACAGACCATCAGAGCCTAAGATATCTCTTTTCTCAGAAGGAACTCAATCAGAGGCAGAGACAATGGGTCGATTTTATTAAGGACTACGAGTTCGCGCTTCAGTACCATCCGGGGAAGGTGAACATTGTAGTAGATGCTTTGAGCAGGAAGCATCGTCACAAGCTTTCAACTTTGAGGTGCTCGTTATACCGAGACCTTCTTATCATCAGTCAGTTTGAATTCAGGCCAGAGGTTGGTGGACGTAGTACATTTTTGGGAGCATTAGCAGTACAACCGTCATGGATTGATAGAGTGATCAGTGCTCAGTTGGAGGACTCTTAGATTCAAACTCGAAATGGGAATATTTTCAAAGAGCCCAAGGCAGATTGGACCATCGGATTAGATGGAGGCCTTCGAATGAGAGGCCAGTTGGTAGTGCCAGATATTCCATAATTGAAGAAGGATCTATTTGATGAAGCATATCATACCAGATATACGGTACATCCAGGTACGACCAAGATGTATAAGGATTTGAAGAGGCACTTTTGGTAGAACCGTATGCGTAGGGATGTTGCAAAGTATGTCTTTAAATGCTTTACTTATCAGCATGTGAAGGCAGAACATCAGAGACCAGCTGGTACCCTACAGTCCTTACTCATTCCTGAATGGAAGTGGGCAGATATTTCGATGGACTTCATTATGGGTTTGCCAAAGTCTACCAAAGGAAATGATTCCATCTGGGTGATTGTCGATTGACTAACGAAATCGGTGCACTTCTTGCCAGTTAAGACAACCCATACTGTAGAGACCTATGCAAGGATTTTCATTTAGGAAATTGTGAGATTTCATGAAGTTCCAGAGACGATTGTATCAGATCGTGGCTCGGTATTCACATCCCATTTTGGGAAGAGTTTCCAAAATTCTATTGGCAGTTAGTTAGCCTATAGCAGTGTTTTCCACCCACAGATAAATGGTCAGACAGAGAGATTCAACCAAGTGCTGGAGGACATGCTTCGTGCATGTGTGATCAATTTTCAAGGCAGTTGGGAAGATCATATACCATTGATTGAGTTTTCTTACAATAATAGTTATCAATCGACTATAAGTATGACCCCTTATGAAGCATTGTATGGAAGACCCTGTAGATCTCCGATTTGTTGGGCAGAGCCAGAGGATAGCTTACTACTTGGGCTATACCTTGTGAGGTAGATAACAGAGCAGGTAGCATTGATTCAAAAGCGTATTCTTGTAGCCCAGAGTCGGCAGAAGAGTTACGTAGATTAGAGGTGACGACCTTTGGAATTCCAGATTGGAGACTATGTCTTGTTGAAAGTCTCACCTATGAAGGACGTCAGACGATTTGGTAGACGAGAAAACTTACCCCCAGATATATCGGTCCTTTCAAGATTATCAATCGTGTTGGAACCGTCTCGTACCGACTAGACCTTCCAACGTCGATGCCAGACGTGCATGATGTCTTTCATGTCTCAATACTCAAGAAGCACTTACGAGATGAGGAGCAGTAGAGAGTGTTTGATGTGCTAGATTTAGAGCTTCAGGCGGATTTGACTACAATTAAGACTCTAGTCCGCATTCTTGCCAGGGAAGACAAGAAACTTTGAAATAAAGTAATTTCGTTAGTTAAGGTGCAGTGGAATAGGAAGCTAAGGGAGTTGAGGAAGCTTCCTGGGAGCGCAAGGAGGATATGCATCGTGACTACCCATATCTGTTCGAGCAGGTATTAGCTAGTTATGACTTCATTAGTATTTATCTTACCTATATCGTCACATTTATACTTCATGCTGGAATGTGGGTATTAACACTTAATGACTAGCCATTCAGAACATATGGTATATATATGGGGGGTTCCTTGTTTGGATTTTTGCCCGACGTACTAGTTTTGTTTTAATTAGAGGTTAAGTGGGAATATTCACATTCTGGATGTTAAGTGTAAATATTTCATGTGTGACCCATATCATGTGATTAATGATACGAGATGTGTACATGAGGGTTTCCATGTTTGGATTATCCCCTCAACGTGCTTTTCTCGTATCATTAACCTCTAAGATTAAGTTGCTGAATTTTGGGGATGAAATTCTCTTTAAGGAGGGGTGAATGTAAAACCCCAAAAATTTAAAATAATATATATATATATATTGGCAATCTGTTGATTTTGAAGAAATATCACTGTAGCATTTTTAAAGAAATATTACTGTAGCATAGCCGGGATAATGCAACAGTATTTTAAAATATTATTGTAGCATTTTAAAATATACTACTGCAGCAAAGGTAGGATACCGTAGCATTTTTTAAAAAATATTACTGTAGCATTAAAAAAGTATTATTATTGTATTTAAAAATATACGGTAGCAATTAAAAAATAAGATTACTGTAGCAATAAAAAAAAAGGAAAAGTCGTGCTTTGCACGGGACGCACACTAGTAGGAAGGTACCCCAAAACATGATAGTGTTCAAATGATATAATTCCTTATTATCAAGTACATCTATTTTAAGTTATGTCTTGAAATTTACCTAGTTATCAAGAATAATAAAGTTGATACCAAAGGAGAATCTTGTGTTAGCGTTCTGAGCTTCGCATTGTTGAGTGTTTCTTCCTCTCAGCATGACATTATATTGATTAACCTGTAGCTCATTAAGTGGTGTGTATGCATCTAATTTAATTTGTTCTTAACATCTTGATCAAAAAATTATTGGCTGCGTATATAATATGAAATTATCAACAACGAGACTTTCTTAAATAAAATAATAATATTAGTTCCTTTCTTAAAGAAAATTCTCAACAAATCCTCAATAAATTCTAAATTATTTTCTTTAATAAAATCAGGTCAATTCTCAATATATTGGTTCTTTGATGTATTTTCTTAAAGAAAATTCTTAACAAATCCTGATATTTTTTTACTTTATAAAATTAGGTCAGATTATAATCATACCATGGTGGTTTGATGTATTTTCTTACTTAAATAATTTCAAACACATATATACTCTTCATTCTTATTAGTATCTTAAGTTATATTATGTGGAAATAATCGAGCAATGTGAAGGGAATACATGCAAATTAATTCTCAGTAACCTGGAATGATTAAAAATAGGAGTGGTGTTAGGGGCACACCCCAAACCACACCTCCCCTTTCATTCGCTACAGTACTTTGGGCCCCACATGAGTTTTTAAATTTTAAAAACTCATGTGGGGTCCGGAGTACTGTAGCGAATGAGAGGGGGAGGTGTGGTTGGAGGTGTGACTTGGGGTGTGTCCCTAACATTTCTATAAAAATAGATCAAGAATACATTAAATTCTATCATGTATTTAAACATGCATGAAAATTTATTAAAAAAAAGCTTAAAGCTAAATTTATTGATCAGATTAAAAATATATCATTATCAGATTAAATTTTATCAAATAATTAGACATGAATGACCAGTTACGTAAAAGAAATGTAAATACCTCAAAGCCGAACAAAAAGTTGGGTGGAAGCTAGAGATGTTGGTCAAATTAAAAATAGATAATCATCAGATAAATTTTAATCATCAGCATGTATGCATGGGTATTTTAATTTAGCTTGAAAAGAGAGTAAAAGCTCACCTTCTATGAGAGAAAGGGTACTTTAAGGGCAACATCCAAACGTGTCGTTTAGAGAATGATGAAGAAGCATTGCTCAAAGAATTTGAGCGAGTAGTGCATTACATATAAGATATTTAATTTTCTATGTAAACTTTAATGACCAGCATTGTATATCTGAAAGTATCTCAACCAAGTGAATATATGGATTCACATAAAAAAAATCAAACTAGGAAGAATATTGTCATTGGTAATTTTAAGAAACAGAGAATTACAAGAAAAATAAAAATAAAAATAAAAATGAAGAGTAATTCACAATCCTAAAAAAATAAAATAAATGAATATTTTTTGTTTGAAAAGATGGTAAAAATTCACCTTCCATGAGAGAAAGAGAACTTTAGGGGTTACTTCTAAAACTGCTTATCAAAATAAAATTTTATAAATACATTACAACTTTACAAAAATATTTAACATTAATAGCAAAGTTAATGTCAGAGATATATATAAATAGGCATGCTTATTCTCTATTATTTAATCTTCAGGTTATTTTTGCCTCTTTAAAAATAAGACCAAGAATACCTTAGAATATTGACACGTATTCACCTTATTCTTGCAAAACACAAAGCAAATAATATACCTACAAATATTGAAAAGTGAGAAAATTAATAAATGAATGAAATAAATGTAAATTTTAAATATGAAAGCGAGGAAGGACCTCCAGAAGGAGTTCCTACAAAAATAAAGCAAATAATACATCTAAAATTATTTTAAAAAGTGATAAAAGTAATAAATATTAAAATCTAAACTTGATACACTACTAGAAAAATGAACAAACTAGAACGAATTTGTTTGCATCTAGTTTGAGGCAAACTAGACGGAAAAAAATTCTGTCTAGTTTGTTCGGTCTAGTTTGAATCAATCTAGATGGAAATTTCCGTCCTCTAGTAGATTGACAAACTAGAAGGTTTTTATTTTTTTTAATGAACAACGGAACTGTGCCGGCGTTCGTCCTCTTCTCGCCCCGCGCTCCGGCAGCGTCCACCTCTCCTCCGCCTGCTCCGCCCGCATCCCCCGCTCGTCGCCTCGTCGCCTCTCCAGGAACATAGTCCCCGGCCGCCACCCCGAGCGGTGGCGCAAGACCCGCCGGCAAACGTCGTATGCAAGCGCTTCTGGAACTGTCTTGGACGCCTCTGCTACGAGTACGATCACATTATTCCTTTCTCTACAGGTAGTTTTTTTTTCTAATTTATGCCCTCCAGCTGTTCGTCATTTTGTCTGAACGAATGTTTCTTCTCTTGTTTCCTGCAATTTGGTCTTTTCGGTCTCGATGCCTCCAACATTGTTAATAGGTTGGTGATACAATGTTTAGGAGGAGTTTTGGTAGGCGGTGATGATTGGAGATATCTGTGTTGTTCAAACTCTGGATCATATCTTTACTTGTGTTTTAAAAAGGTTGGTTTTGGGTTCGGTATATAAGGTGTTAATAAAACGAGGGGGCGCCTGGAGTAAGGGCAATAGGAATTAAGGATCCAATGAATGTTACCATTTTTTTTGTTGTTTTTTTTTTGTTGTTTTTTTTTGAATAAGGCTTTCATTCTAGAATGAGTCTCAAAAGCTTCTCTTTGTTCTCACTTCACTAAAACACATACTCCATTAGTCTATCTTGTTTTCTTCTCTTAACATGGATTACATGGAGTGCCTGTTGCTATCCGTTATGACCTCCTTCATTTATTACGTGTTAGCTCTCTGGTGCGCATGATGCATGAAGAGCACAGTACAAACTCGTGCATAAAAAAATGTTCAAGCATAGCAATGGATGTTGATCACTACAAAATGAAAAGGGTAGAAATATAATCCAATGTTAGCATAGCGGTTGGTGCTGTTTGTTGATCTATATAAGATCTCGAATTTTGGGGAACAATCTCACAATGTTAGCATAGCGGTTGGTGCTGTTTGTTGATCTATATAAGATCTCGAATTTTGGGGAACAATCTCAAGTGTAATCAGTTGAAATTTTCGTTTGCTTTTGATCTATATAAGATCTCGAATTTTGGGGAACAATCTCAAGTGTAATCAGTTGAAATTTTCGTTTGCTTTGCAAATTAATCAGATCAATTGGCGAGAAATGGGAGTCCGGCGACCAAGGCTCCTCCGAGCCCTTCGCCATTGAGAAATTCGAAGTTTTTCCAGGTAAAGATCAGTTATTTATTTAAAAGTTTTGATCTTGGGTGATTTTGCTTGTAATCGGGATCAATTGAGTGCTTAAATGTGCAACTAGCTGATGGATTGTCTATGTATTTTGCTGGTTATATTTTCTGTTTGACCTTAAAAGTATCCGCATTGGTAGTTTATATGATGTATCATTTACTCACTTTACAAAAGTAGAATATCCATACTGGAGTTTCTTTCTTTCAATGCTCCCGTCATTCAGCCACACACATCTTGATGAACCTGGAAGGGTGGAATGGGAAGGCTTCTCATCAGGGACCAAGGCAACAGCTGCTGGCACGGTCATATTATTTGACACCATCTCTTTGACATGTTTATTACAATGATTTTTCTTTGAGCATTAGTTATGTTCAATCAATTTATTATTGTTACACGTCCACTTTTATGGTTGGTCCTTTCAATAAACTGGTATAAACATCTGATTGTCCAGTCTTTCAAGGGTAAAAAAGTTTGAAACTTAGCATACAGTAGAATACAATCCTATCAAGTTCCAGTGTTATTTTATTTGCTGTGGGAAACATTTCTTAATTCACTTGATACTGTTCGCTTTATACAGATAACTAGTGAATACTTAATTTGTTGTTTGATGCTATTAGGTTGACGTAGCACATGAGAAAATATATGTCGATGTTGGGATTGTCTTGATCCTTAGTTTTTATTTATTCCTTGTATTTATATATTTGTAATACTCAAGTCAATGGCAATATATTTGACTTGGAAATAATTAAAGCCCATAGTTCCCCATACATAAAAAGTAAAAAACTACCATGAAACATATCTTTTATGTTGCAGGGTGCCAATCATGAAGGTTTGATTTGGTGTGCTATAAGGGACTGTTAATTTCCATGGCAAATTTATTACTGCATATATTTTCCTGTTTGTGTTAACAGCTTATTGATAGCAAAAGTTGTGTGTGAAATATATCTTTCCTGTTGCATCTCCTGACATATTTTTCCTGCTTTGTACAGTCTTTCATGTGCCCCTCAGGAATAAACAATTTCCCGATGACTAATTCAACTCATATCAAGGTGTGTTTTTAGCCACTTAGTTATTTTCTAAATAAAATTTTCTGTGTTCAGTCATTGGTTTTTAGTTTACTTCATTGTAAGTATTGATACTTAATTAACACTTTGAACATGCCGTGCCTTATTTTCCCTCCGTTTTGCATTACAAAGATAATGCGATTTACTTTTTCTTATGCTCATTTGCTCATTCCTGAAAGTCTTACCATCTTTTATAGGAGGGATTATCTGTGTTGGCAAAGTTCGAAAGGCCTTTGCTTGTCCACGCGGAGGTAGTTTTGGATTCTGAAAGCAACCTGAACCATGATAGCAAAGGTTCTGATGTTCGGTCCTATGAAACATATCTTAGGACCAGGCCACCCTCATGGTAACTTGGCAACCACATTTTCCTTTTTGCTACTTGTAGGAGGAGTCTCAATTGCTATTTCTTATTGAATGTAGATGAATTAGTGTTTATCATATATTTTTATCAAAAGAAAAGTATTGATGGACAGATTTTCCATGCACAGGTAGCATTCGGCCAAATGATGCTTCAACAAACTTGGAGGAGTAAATGCAATTGGATTCTATAAATTATGCAAACTTCATCAAGTTATGTAAATAATTGTATTCTTTATTATCTATGTAAACAATTTATGTATCTCTCTAGTATTTTGATGAATGTATTATTTGAATATAATTGTATTTGATATTAAAATATAATTAGATTTTGTTGGATATGAATATGATTTGTTGTGTAATATTGTGTACACGTACATGTGATATTATATAGTGTGCAACACAGATTTTCCAAAAAAAACTACTGTAGTATCGCAACCTAGACAGAATTTTCGTCTAGGTTGCTATAGTAATAGTTTATATTGCTACAGTAGCAACCTAGATGGGATTCCAAACTGTCTAGGTTGATCAACCTAGACGGGATTCCAAGCAACCTAGACCGAATTTTCCGTCTAGGTTGCGCGTTTTTCTACTAGTGATACAATAGAATGAGCTCGAGAAGGTATTCCCGCCAAAAACAAAGTACCTAAAATAATTTTAAAACATGACAAAATTAATGGATTAATGAAATAAATATGAAAATTTGAACCTGATATTAAAGAAGGAGCTCACAGAGGTATTACTGCAAAAATAAAGCAGACAATGCATCTAATAATTGATGTTAATACTTACATGCTTAGTTTCTCCTATCAGATTGTAGGCATCAAAAATTACCTATAAAGCCCTAAACTTAGCTCAAGACTAAGAGAAGACGAAGAACGTCATCATCTAAGTCAAAGAGGGCTAGCCGAAGCAAAAGGAAGCAAAAAAGCACGCAAAACGGCGAATAGACGGGAATCGAAACTGTCTCACAATTGGTGAGACAATATTCACTATCTCGAAATCCGAGACAGTGTAAGCCATCTTGCCAATTGCGAGACGGTTACCCTTGTTTTCTGATGGTTTTGCGATGATTCATGGGATCCATGTGGTTCCATAACTGCTTGAAAACATCCATAAATACGGAGATGCCGTTACAAACTAAAAATCCACTCACAATCCCCGAAAATCGCGACATTTAACAGAATGTGCGGTGGTTACAAAACTGTCTGGAACCACTTCTTCATCCGAGATAGTAAACACTGTCTCAGAAATAGGAGTTGATGATCACGAGTTGTTTCAACTCCTTTTCGATGGTTATGGCTTCCAGAGGCTATAAATACCCCCCTCACACACTTGTGAAGGGGGGAGAGCAGAATCCAGGCGGAGAGACACAAGCTTTGACGAACTTTGATCATAAAGAGAGAGTTCTTCACTGTTTTCAAGAAATCTTCAAAGTCTTTGGTGTTTCCTCAAGTTCAAATATTGATTTGTTCTTGAGAAGAATATTTATCTTACTTGGCTAAGATATCTACTTCTATTCTTGTTTCCAAGTTGAAACATCAACATAAAAGCCTTCTTCACGATAAACCCGGATCGTTGAATCGGTGATCCACAGATCAAAGCATCCCCAGCACAGGCAAATATCCCACGCAAGCAGCGACTAATAAATAGTTTCTGTGTGTTTTTAGGGAATACCCTTTTTTGTTTTCTTTGTAAAGAGAAGTTTTATAAAAAAAAAGCTCACTCTTTTGTTTTCATTGTAAACGATAAACGATTGAAATAGAAGCTGCAATAAAAATCATTCTCGACGCAAACATGATGGCGATCACAGTGGGAGCCAATAGACTCGACATCGAGGCTATCGTGTCGTAACCGATCAAGATCCCGGTTGAATCAATGGTCGAGTACGAGTTTGACCAAGCCAAGTTCGAGGAGTATCTTTCCTCGTCTTCATCAAGGTCTTCCTCTCCTTACAAGTATAGGAGGATCTCATCTTCGAAGAAGGTTTCAACACCAATGAAGGCTCAGGGTGTCTCTTGCCCAACGGTTGTCGAGGCTTCACCTCGCAACGTTATCCCGACAACTAACAAAGCCGGAAGCTCTACTAGCAATGACTCCTCCCCAGTTAAGGAGTTGTTCAACCAAAGTTCACCAACTCTAATGAAGAGGGCTCGTCAGAGACAACGCCAACCAGCTCGTCAGTTTTCTAAGGCCTTGGAACAGGTTGATGGAGTTCGCTACTACACGGACTTGGAGTCTATGAAGCGTCAAGTAATCTAGCCGCCTCAACGACAAATCGCTGACAATTCCTCCAAACCATCCATCGAAGAATGAGTTCTCATCAAAAGGACTCATTCGACAAAGAAGGAAGGCATCCAGAAGCGTTGTGCACATGCCGCGCATGCACGTGCTCTTGTGCGAAAGACACAAGACATAGAGAAGAAATAGGTGGCTAAAGAACCACCAAAATCCCACAAAGTTTGGATTCCAAAGACCAAAACTGCCCGAAAATCGAGTCGTGAGATAGGAGAAAGTGTCTCCTGTAGCCGAGACAACCTCAGCTGTCTCATCGGCCGAGACACCCTCAGCTGTCTCGCCCAAAGTCGAGACACATCAAGCTGTCTTGCCCAAAGAGGCACCTCCGCGGTCGTTTCTTTGCCTCCGTCGATGTCTGCTCCAGGTCCATCTTCCATGGTTGCTTCCACCACGCCATACGTGAAGCCTTGGGTCAGTCCTGACCTTTCAAAATTCAAAATCATGATAGTGGATCGCCTTGGTCCTCTGCACGAAGATCGAGGTAAAGCACCGATGAAAGAGTGCTTGGCTCCGGTGATTAAAACCAAAGTAGCTCCTCCGACTAAGGGTCATTCATAGACTCCCATCAAGCCAACTACTGCTCAAAGATGTCCCACCGCCTCCAAACAAACCAGAACACCTCATTATACCTGCTCCGTGCTGTGCACAAAAAGGGCAAGGAGGCCTCCATTTCTGAGAGAATTCCTATCGTCGCCCGCCTGGGGGTCCGTGTTGAAGCCCAGGAGCCTGTTATGACTCCATGCTCGTAAGGGGGTGGTTCTAAACGTGTGACTCCAGATGTAACTATTTGCGTTGGAAACTAATTTCTTAATGAAATCCATTACAAGTCGTTTTATCGATTATAATAGATTCACGAGATTTAGCCTTTTTATAAGACTTCTCTACACAAAAGAAATACACACAAGACTTCCTAGAAACACACACAGAGATCGTTTATCGATCGCTTCTTGTGTGGGATCTTTGCCTATGCCGGGAAAGCTTTGATCCGTGGATCGCCGAATAACAGATCCGGGTTGATCTAAAAGAAGGCTCGATATTCTTTGTTTCAATCGAGGAAACTTAGAACATAAGTAAATAACCTCAACATTACTACTCTTCTCAAGATCAAAACAAGGTCTGATCTCAAGGGAATGGGTGAAAAACTTGCAGATCTCTCGAAATCCTCTCTTTATGCGTAGGAATTCGTCAAGATCTCGCCTCTCTTTCTCTGAAATTCGTGGGTTCTGCCCTCAAACCATTAGCAACTTGCCTCCAAGTCCAAAATTCCAGATTACCACTCACAAATGCACG